ACGGTGCATGACAAAGCAGACTCCAAGAGAAATCCAACCTTGAACCGCTGTACTCTCTTAAGCTATTTTCCTACAAATATTTGTATGTATTTTGTTCTTTCCGTCTAACCTTTCTCTATTTTTTTTAATTCAAAAATCCCCCCTCAAACAGTGAATAAAAGAGACTATTTATAGGGGGAGAATCGAATTGAAAGGGGGAAAATCGGGTGAATTTGGATGGCTCCCCTTCGAAATTTGAATTTCCAAAGTCCTTCAAGATAAGGTTGGACAGCTCGGATTTTGTACCGAATCGTACAATCCTCAACGGATTGAGAACCATGACCATCCGATTCGGAACAAGGACGCTTGAGGTGCGGAGATTGCTCCACCTAGACGACTACAGTACATTGTTCGTACGAGAGGATAAGGGGAGAGGGACGGGGAGACACGCGTTGGGCTGCACGTTTCTGGGTTTCTGGTCGCATCTGGGGAAGAAGACTCGCTGGGGTCGCCTGGTGTGTTGTTGTTGCACGCTGCTGTATTGTATGTTGGTGGACTGGGTTTGGGAATTGGGATTGGGTCGGTTATATGAAATAAGTGGGCTGATGAAGGCAAAAATGGGTTGGCTGGGAATAGAGGAAAATGGGCATTGAATTGGAATTGCAGCTATTGAATATGGACTGCTGAAAAGGTAAGCAAAGGCCCCAAATTGACCATAAAAGAATTGGAAGAGGTGGAAGGGAAATGGCTATATTCCAAATTAAGATATGGCCCTTTGAGTTTAATTAAGGCCAATTGGAATTAGTCGGTGAATTCGGCTGGCACTCAAACAAGATAAATTAATATTGATTAATTAACGAGCTTCTTAATTTTAACGAAATAAAAATAATTAACTTAATTATAGACTAATAACTCAAAAAATATAGTTATTAACTAACTAAACCAATTAACCAACTAATTAAGTAAAATTAAAATCTTTTTTTAGACGATTTTCGAATATTCATAAGATATACTAATTATATACGTAATTATGTAAAACATATATATTATCTAAAAATTATAAAAAGTCACAAAACTATTTAAAATAACTTGCAAACTATATTTTTTTTTTAAATTTTTTTATAAAACTAATTATTTTAACTCGTTTGAAATTGAAGAAACTCGATGATTAATCTATATTGTGGAGGTCCAAAATTGGGTGTCAACAACGATATCTCTCTTTCGAGCATATTTAGGGAAAAATAGATCTGAATCATAATCCCTCTATCAAGCAAACTATAGAAATCAAACCTAAATTGCAGGTATCAAACTAATTACCCACTCCAATCGATCTCTTTCGAGCATCAATCTGAGATCGAAATTAGGATTGAGTTTGCAACCTTAATCCATAAGTTAACCCCATGCTAATGAGCCTAAATCCATGGAACAATAATAAAACAGAGTAAAACACAATACCACTACATTAAATCAATAGTCAACCCCATAATTGCACCCCTAGACTTGGAGTTTAAGCCACATATCACAAAAAGTAAAGAAATTATATCTATCATGATAGCAACCATGAATATGATGAAATTAAGCAATTATAATCAACACCCACTTTGATTTCAACTTCCAATTGTCAATTACAAAATTAAAAATTGAAAAAACCCCCAAAACTAAAGATGTTCTTCACAAGGTGAAATATGTCATACACAAATCTCTCAAAAATACTCTATTCCAACTCTGTCCAAAAACTCTCTCGAAGAACTCCGATATTCTCTCTACTTTGGGATATTTATAGTTTTCTAAAATTTGGCCCAAATTTAGTAAGTGAACAACTCGACGAGACTGATCGGTGGATCATCGTCAGTTCCTTAGCCTGCCTTTCATTTGCTTCGGGCTTCAAGTATTTGAACCGCAGTTGGCAAACTCGTACAAGCCTGTCTTTCACATCTGGCAGATCACTGATTACCGTCTTTGTTCGCCTTTAAGCCTTCATTTATCATCCAAGTCCTATTACCTTTGGCAATGATCATCTTGTTTGCCTTTCAATTTCGGTGAGTTGCCGTTTCACTTTTGATTCACCGACCCGCCTCGATTATCTTCAGTTGTGAACATTGTCACTTTGGGCATGGTCATGCCATCTGGACGATTCACCCTTTTGGTTAGGCGACTCCCATTGTGGAGTTTACACTTCTTTCAATGGTTTTGATCTTTCTTTCAAGTGTATTCATTCTAGTCTTGTTCTTTAGCCTTCAAAATGATTAATCCTTGAAATAAATTAAGTAGTTGTTTTCATTATTAGTGTGCTAATTTACTCAAAGTAATTACTTTGTCCTGTTAACTATTTCAAAATATATTTTATTTTTACATGTTCCTTTTAACATATTAGGAAAAGACAACTTTTTCCTCCATATTTTACACTTCTCGCATTAGTTACTTATATCCTAAATCATTTTTAGGATCTAATACTAAAACATTATGTAATATGGATATTATAGTCTAATACTTGTATTAATCATAATTCCTTCAGTCCATCTTTATTTGTCCACTATACTATTTTGGGATGTTCAACAATACTTGTCCAGCTTATAAAATTACTCCCTCCGTCCAACAATTGTTGTCCACTATACTATTTTAGAATGTCCAACAATACATGTCCACTTTATGAAATCAATGGATAATTTTACACTTAGTTCCTAGTTTACCCTTATCACTAATTGTAGTCATTTTCCTATTACATTTTTCAAGATATTATATATATTATATTTAAAGGGTGATATAGTAATATTATCCTTTTATTTATAGTTTCTTAAGAAGTATGCAAAGTCAATAGTGGACAAGTATTGTTGGACAAAGGGAGTAATGAATAGTTTATCATGTTGTGTCTAGTTTCTTAATTTCTGTGTCAAGTCAATAGTGAACAACTATTATTGGACAGATAGAATATTTCTTAATGGGTTGCAAAATTCAAAGAGAACATTTAAAAGTGAGGAGGGACTAGTTAGGTAATCCTAGAGTTACAAAGTTGTTCTTTTCAGACTCAATTGATATGGATTTCAATCCCATTTAATTATATTCCGCATTCTTAAAGGTGATTATTTTAGAATGAGACGATTTCTGTTTTTACTAATTTGTGAATATTTTAATTTGATACAAATGACAAAAAGTTGGTCAATATGTATAATTATATATTATCAACAAATGAGTGATTGATTTTTGCAGTCATTTCTGGTTGCTTTCCTTAACCAGAGGTAAAACAAGTATTTACAATTTATGATTTTAGAATTCTAACTCTTCTAATTTGAAGGATTTTAAATAAATATTTTTTTATAAATTTTAATAAATTTCTTAAGATAAATACATAATTTACATTAAAATTATTGAGTTCAGTGAAATCTTCTACTTTAGTTTTTGACTCCACTTCAACTCCGCCCTAACTGTTTTATTTCATAGTAGCCCGTTAAAGCACCCTTGTTCCACATCTAGATATGTAGGGCTACACATAGTGTGGACACTCTATCTCTATATATATATATTCTACAACATTCTCTTGTAATTATCCTAGAGTTCAAAATATAAATTACGTACCCAATTTTTGGAAATATTAATAGTTTAATTGGTTGATCGACTATATAAAATTTTACTTTATTATTCTGGGTTCGATTCTTCATTTTGTAATCCTCTCCCTTACTAAAATTTTCTTTAAAATATAATACAATTTTTACCCAATTACCAATTCTACGATCTCTTGACATTTGAATTTAAACTTATAATTATTTTCACATTATATTTTCAACTATCAAACTCTTCATTTCTCTATTAATCTAGACTATACCTCCTAATTTTTAGAATGCTATAGATACAAAGAAATTAGTGTCACCACTTGTGCCGCCAGAAAGTAATGAACCAATAATTATGCATTTCGAATTACTGACTAATATTTTCCTTCACAAGTTTAAAACTGTTTTTCTCACAATTATTTTGGCGTTGACTTTCTTAACGCGATTTATAATAAGTTAAAAGGTAGAAAGAGCACATAGTTAATAATTAATATACTGAAAAAAATGTGAAGTAATAAGGTGTTATGTTCACATAATCACATTTCACATTCAAAAGGAGGGGACACACTGTTTGCATGGATTATGATAGTCGTCTTTATAATCACAATGTAGTTACTTTTCCTAAGTATTCGAGATAATATAGACTAGTCAACACTTTAGCATCTCGTTTTAAGACTTTTTTGTGCAATCCATTTCATTAAGGAAAAGCTAGACCAATTCGTTTATTATAACTGAAAGACACTTTTTTTTTTATCATTTTCTGTATAAAAAGAATTTCCGATCATATCAAAACTAGATGGTATAACATGAATTAAGTTCATTTTAAAATCATATTTCCAATTTCTTCACTAATTAACAATGATTGCCCCAATCATTACCTCATTGATTCACACATTTTTTCTAATTTCTCTTTAGATGCCAACAAGTAAATATTCTGATTGTATCCTTGGTGGTTGGAGTTGAATAAGAAAAAAAAAATGTTATGATTGACCACTAACTAGCCACAAAGGTTTAATTAATTATTGAATTGTTTACTCCCTATAACTAAACAAGATTTTATATCAATATATATATATATATATATATATAGATAATTTTTATTATTATCAGAAATAAATTTTCTTATTACATTTTGCATCAGATTTGAGATTATTAACTACTCATAATTTTGTGCTTAATTTAAAAAAAAGAAGTATTTATTGAAATTATTAACTGGCTACGATTTTGGGCTCATTTTTCAAGAGAATAGATTTATTTGTGTGCTTAATTTTAGGACAACATATCCTTCCTTTATCATGTTCGTTAAGTGCATATTTAGATTTGCGACACTTGTCATATTTGAAATTTTATATCTCTACTACATCAATTATTTTCTTAATTGAATCATTTAAAACATAGCCATTGTGGCCTCTTCTTCCTCCATGCAGTTGGCTTGGATCATGATACAAATCCTTAGACAATGACTTAATGAATCAATCAAGCTATTAACTCATTTATCTTACACTCTCTATATTTGATATCAGCCTTAATCGATCCTTCCTCATGGATTACGTCACAACATTCACATTTATCGATCTGAAAAAGACATAAAAAAGACAAAAAAGTTAATAAAAATACAAAAGTCGAGTTGTTGACTTTCAATATTTGGTTGATTTAGAAGATGCAAAATGTAATTTGGGTTTTTCCTAAAGACGTAAATGTTTCACTTCAATTGTCTTTACTAATAACAAAGTGTGTATTAGTCGAGTTGCAATAAGTGCATTCATAACTATTAGAATTTTTCTATAATTATCTTTTAGGAGACCTAAATCCTAATAGTAAATTATTATTTTTATAGTGTCAGCGTACAAAAGTTTAATTCATAGAGACACTTATGAGAGATTATGGATGTGGAAAATGTTACCTGGATACGTTTTATTGCTGGTGAGTAAACATAAATTTCAGAAACATACTCTGCAGAAAAATTTCCAGAAGACAAACAAGCTCCTATCCCTCGAGGCCATCCTCTACTATACGTTGTAATGATTTCACCCCTTTGAGTTTTCTCAACGGACTTGAAGAAAAATACATGAGGAGCTTCACAAGGATTCCAAGAAGGACCCCTAACATCAAACATATATTGTGGTTGGCTAGAACTTCTTTGCCATGTTCTAAATGTTACAATAGGTCGTTGTATCCAACTTCTAGGCATAATTTTCTCATAAATATGAGCTGAGTATCCCCAAGAAACTGAAAATGTCCAACTTTTAGACCTATGGTGGCATATAGTTTGTTGTAACATGCGCGATTGATCGTAGAATGCAGCTTTAAGGAGGTGGGAACCTGCTTGGGCACGAGTCATAGAGGGAAATATTGGGTCAACCGTATCATAATGGTGAAGGGACGTTAATAGAGACTTTGGATGATACGATAGAAATCCAGATATATCACCACGAAGATCAATCTACAAAGGTATAAATATGAAAGTATTAATTAGCTAGTAGTATGTAGCATTTAGGGAAAAGAGAAAAGTACACTCAAAGTAATTTGTACAATAGTTGATAAGACTTTCCTCACCCAATAATAAATGCTTTATATATGCATATAATTTGTTTTTGTTAAATTCATTTAATATAAGGAAAGTTTTTAATATAGCAGAAATGGAGACTTAAAATTTGCTTTATTTGAAATATTATTTGTTTGCCACGGCACTTAATTACTTGGCTAAATATTGTTCATTTCTTTGACCTTTTTATTCTTCAGTGTGTTGGGAGGGTAAGTAGGTGGCTTTAGTAATGGAGTATTAATTCTCTTGCTTTTTAGAATAAAAAGAATTTAATTTTGTACATTGACAAAGTAAAAGTAATTTTTACACTATTTATTCAACTACAAGAAAATCAGAGTTACTAAGTAAAAATATAAATAATTACCTGAAAAATAAAGCAATTATCAGGGTAGATAAGTCAAATCCCCCCACACAAAAAAAAGAGCATATATAATACATAGGTCGTCAGGCCAAGTAGACACACTCTTCCTATATGACTTAATGTACGTAGGACGTCATATAGGATGTGAATTGTCAAGTATGACGTATGTGTCTACTTGTTCAACTCTATACAAGTTTAAGTGCCAACTTGTGCAGATCTAAAGTTAGACGACGAGGCCAAGTTAAAGATCATAACGTTTATGTATTATGAAGATACCTGATGAATACCCTGAAGAGGGGTAAGATTTACTCCAAGGTCAGCAACACAAACCATTGTTGTTCGATCAGACGATTTCAAATGAGCATACCTCTTTAAGCAAGACATCACATTGTGAGCAAATTCTCTAGCCAAAGGATAACTCAATATAATTCCAGCTCCACCAAAACCTTGATGAAATGAGTACCAATAATTTGACAATATAAATTCCGAATGTCCACCAAAATAATAATACTTCGTATGATCATATTGTGCAAGAATATCAACCATATTATCAACAAAAAATATAGTATCATCGTCCCCCAAAATTACCCATCTTACCCCTTCATGTGCCTGTCTAACCACTTCCATAATCCCATGAACCATTCTTAAAACTCTTGGATCAACATGATTTGTTTCCCTAACAAGTTTTCGAACATCATCGGATATTCGATAAGGAGGTGAATTTAAGGACCATGGAAGGAGATCACCTCTAGGAGGAACATCTAGAAAAATATGTCCTCTTGTAACATTTGGTCTCCACCATGCTTCAACATAGTGTTTTCTATGATGCCATGCTCTTTCATTGCCTAAAAGTCCAAAAACAAGGTGACTAATGTTGGTTTGTGCAACAATTTTGGATGATGTTCTTGTTTGAGAAGTAGATAAAAAATTAGAGTTATTGAGAAAGATAATGGCGCACATGTATAAGAATAAACAACAAATTAGCATTTTTTTACAAATGCTAAGGACATTGAATTTGTCTTGTTTAGACATGTTTGAGTAGAGAGAAGTTGAGAATTGTAGAATGAAAACAAGTGAACCAATGCTCATTTTAACTTTTCAATTAGGCAATGAGTAATAACACCCCCCCCCCCCCCCATCCAAACCCCATAAAAAAACAAAGGAAATAAATAAATATTTATTTCATTGGCTTTCACTAATTCATTTTGACTTTTGAAAGCCAACCTTTTGTACCTTTTACTAAGTATTGATGTTATGTTAGTATACATCTAAAAACAAGAATTTCCATCCTATTTTCTTTAACTAGTATACGTGCCCGCGCGTTGCGCGGATTATATCATAATTTTGATAAATTGTATAAATAACTAATTGAAATGCTTCTCCGAATAAATAACTACCTCACACTATCTCTATATAAAAACAATACAATATATAAACTTAGTTCATTTACTAAATTTTTTAACAATAATTATAATTATAAAATTATTTACTTTATTTATTTACAAATTAATAAAAATCACAAATATCCTCACATAATCCATATTATCCTTTTGTGTGCATTTTTTAAAAATCCTTTTATATGCATTTGTTTACTATTAATTTGAATCTTTTAATTTAGTGTATTACCTATTAATAGGAGGATATTAAATCATATTAACTTTAAAATTTTCATCTACTATATTGTTTCTCAATAAATAAATAATAATAGGATTATTGAATTCATATTCCTTCATCCTTTGTATAACAATTTTAACAAAGAGCTAGGGAGAACATTTATTGGTAACAATCAATCCAAAACATGATTTATGTGTCTAAATATAAATAATGACATTAAAACACTGTCACAATTTAAAATTTTAATCCACTTTCAACCCTAAATATCTAAAATAGAAATGTTTTGCACAAATCAAATGAATATTTTAAAAATATGTTGTTCGTAAATTAATATTTTATGGTTCGGTAAATTCTATAGGATTTGTTTTTATCAATATATCAATAAAATAGAAATGATTTGCACAAATCAAATGAATATTTTTAAAATATGTTATACGTTATTCGTAAATTAATATTTTATGATTCAGTAAATTCTATAGGAATTGTTTTTATCAATATATTAATAATTTTTTGCCTATAAATATGATAAGAATACAAATATTATTATCCAAATAAATCCATAACTTAATAAAGCGATAGAACAATCTTGTTGAGTAGTTATCTAGAACTCAAACTCATTAAATTAAACCCACTTTTAAAATTGTATTCAATTATCTTGCAATACCTTCAAATTCAAAATAACTAATAATTGGTAAATTGTAAAAACGGTTTATAAATTTAAAAATAATGAAGAATAGTTATAAAGTTGAATATACTAATATGAATTTGTATAGATGGAATTATAAGATTCAATTTATAAGTATAATGGCTAATGCTTCTTCTATTGTTTGATTCCAGATTGTTGTCCTCAAAGTTTATTGATTGTCCAGAAATAAATTTATCTGAAAGTAAATTTTTAATCTCATTATAAAAGTTATTTGTTTGACTAAGCAACCTACAATCAGAAAAAGGAAATTAGCGTCCAATATATATGTAAAATCATTTCATGACAATCATAAATTCCAATAAAATAATTTACCATGCATAAAAACTTTTCTAATAAATAACACAAATTATTGATAGATTATAATCAAATCAAATCATATTAAAGTCTGATTGGTAAGCAAATTGAGCACATATATATTTATTTAAGTGTTGCCTCCATGAATAATATGAACCAAAAAAAAAAAAACCTCATGTTAAAGTTTTATTGATAAGCAAATTGAGCACATATATATTTGTGTTACCTCCATGAATAATGTATAACCAATGAACGAACATGATTGAAGATTGAACAAAAAAAAACTTGATTGAAGGATTGAAGAATAGGTGCAAAAGAATTTAGAGAATAAAATAAGAAGTTTGATGGAAAAATTATTTTATATAGAAAATAAATAATAGATTAAAATTCGGCTTTATCTAAAATAGAGTTAGTTTTTAATTCAAATTTTAAAAGATGAATCGTAACTTCCCATTCAAATCCAAAATTCAAAAATTTAATAATATTTAGTTGAATACATTTTTTCCCTATTTAGTTGGATGCGTTTTTATTTTCTGTCTAGAATTAAAATTAATGCATTTTTGAAACAACTTTTGTAACCGTAGATTTTTGTATTATTTATTATTATAATTATTATTGTTATTATTGTTATTATTATTATTATT